CTCACTTAGCATGCTTTGTGGGGAACTAATAGTGCGATAAATTTATAATAAATATTGTGTGTGTGGCCAGTTATTAATAACTAACATAGGCTGATATAGAGCTGCAGTGGTCCACTCCCTAGCAGTCTCTCATACATAATGACAGTTTTTTGCTGATATGATATTGCCTGAAGATGAAAAAAGAGAGAGATAAAATGTAGCAAGTCAATTTAAAATTAAATTTCAATTGAGTAAATAATTAATTGCTACCTTGTAAAGAAATTAAAATATTAATAAAGTTTCAAAGCGTTTTAAACTAAAGTCTGTTGAGTTTCATTTGACTTAGTGATTTTCAACGACCTGGGGGTGTAGTCCCCTGGTCGTTCCTACATGTTTATTTGATTTCACCCACATGCGATGCTTGTATATTTGTATGTCCACACTTACATTTCTTCTATACATGTTGTATTCGAGAAATAAGAAAATTCATAAGCCTTAGCAAACACCCTCCCACGCTCCTTTAAATAGTCAGAGCAAACAAAATGGTGGCATACACATAGGACAAAGTTATAAGTTCTTAAGCAAAAGAACATATGTACAGTCTCAAGACCTTTCTTGAAGGATTAGAAGGTAGAAAACCTCTTTAAGTTTTAATAAGAACCCAGCTGTACATGCAAGGTGGTGAAATGAAATCAATTATAGTAATACTTTACACTGTTACGCTTGTTTGTAATAACTTTTGATAGTCCAGGTATTTAGAAATTTTGTTTGTGCCATTAGAATTGCTAGGTCCATCCCTTCCTTAGAAATAAGGAACGAATCAAAATGACAAGGCCTTAGCCTTTTTTGGATGTCCCTCTATAAACTCAATGACATACCTTGACCAAAATTACGCAGCTAGAACAGCCAAATCAAATTCAGCTTCTATTATTAATTGATAACAACCAGGGATCAGGTGAAAGTGAATAGACTTTAGAACATGCATAACATCTTAACTCGGTATCAGTCATTTAAACTAAACTACATACACAACCAGTCGATACATTAACATGTACATGGCATGCACATACATGTAGTTACATGCACCACTTACTAGTTTACTGTCTCCTAGAGCATGATGAATTCGTGCAATAACTCTATATATAATAATACAATGGAATATATAAGTACTTGAATGACACCACTCACTTATAACAGTTTGCTATGTTGACATGTAGTGGCCCAAAGACTTGAGCAAACAATTGCACAGCTTCAGATAGATAGTCAAGAGCAACTTCAATATTACCAGACTGCAACTGAACCTGAGCCAACTCATACAAACCAGAGGCTTCAAGAGGCTGGGGGGATTGAGGGAAAGAAAATTTAAGATAAAAAGAAAATTAGAAATACAATGAAATTGTTGAAGATTGAAGTACACATACATGTAAAAGACATAATATACCATCGATCTGAAAATTTTTCACTGTGATTTTAATTTCACTGGATTAGAATTCCAAAAAAAATAGATCACCTACATAATTATATGCCACATTCAATAAT